ACTTTATTATATATATTAAGACTATTTATATAATATCAATTTTCTTTAATAAATTCTTCTTTAATAGTAAAAACGCTTTCTTCTTTAGCTAAATAAGACTTAATCTTATCTACTTCTTTAGAAGTAATAAGAAATTTACTTATAAAGCTTTTAATAAGATCTAATATTAATATATACTTATTTAAAGTTAAAATTACTTAAACCTACTAAAGTCTTTAAAAAGAATACTAGTTTTAATTAAGTATTTATTAATACTTTCTAAAATAGTAGATAAAGATTTACTTATACTACTATTATCTAGTAGAAATAAGTACTCTAAATTTATATTTGCTTTACGTATTAAAGCTAAAATAGTATATTAGTTTAAGTAAAATAATAAGAATAAAGTTAAAAGTGCTATAAATTTTAATAGCTAACTAAGTTATACTATAGTTATACTTTTATTATCATTTCTAGTGAATATTCTATTTTTAGTAATAGTAATTACTAGATTACTATAGTAATTACTATTACTAGAGCTAAAAAGTTGCATAGTAATAGTAATTACTATTACTATAGTAAACGGCAACCCTGGTCGGATTGTTTATTATAGGGGCTGTGCGCGTAAGCGAGCCTCTACGTAATCCTTCCTAATCGGGACTAGCCACCTTCTTCCTGGAAAGGAAGGCTGATCTGCTCGTATGACAAACCTTTTCTAAGGTGCGGCACAGTCCTTCATACAACACCGTACGTGGATTCAACTCCGGCTTTTCTACTTTCATACGCGTGCTCACGCCGTTACTTATAGCGTTCCTATATCCAAATAGCCATCGTCTCACATATCGCTCGATCGTCTCTATCTCGCGGCGTTGCTAGGAGATTTCAATCGTTTCTTCCCTGCCCGTGGAATCCTTTCCGCACGATGGCGATCAATAATTCGAATCCGCGACACCAGCCGTGCTATGTTTTGCACGACCACGGAATGCCTTGCGTAGTTTGGTTCGAGGATGCTGTCGCGTACTATGGCGTCCCAACAGTTGTGTTCGACTTACACGTACTTGTATCAGACATTGAGACAGCTGCACAGGTGCTTATCCAAAATGGATGGACCCTCGTTCCGCAAGAGAAGGGCAAAATTGGAAATGCAAACGTAGATTACGCACAGCGTCGTCTAACACCACCATCTCAAGATAGTCACGACGCAGAACTATCTAAGCCTCACCCGCACACCTCCATACCGCCACCACCAAGTACGAAACCTCCGGGACCAACAACTACTGTCCTTCTTCCAGCTGCAGACTGGAATTTCAACCTTGAAGAATATGCCCCAGAAAATACAAAAACCCTGGTCACCACCATCTTTCCTCCAATAGCAGGCTTATTAGACGCTTTGATCGACAGCCTATTAGATTGCCCCTCCAATAATGATATACTTCAAACCCATATCGCCCTTCAAATCGCCTATCTGTATGACTGGGCGCCCGTGCTGCAAGACCGGGCGTTTGCAGAACGCTTGATGTATGAGCATCGTCAGTATCATTTCGATGTCCTGTCTGGAATGAGCCATGGCACTGTACCGTTCATCTCTCATCAACGTAATGTTCGAGAAGCATTACGGCAAAGGACACATGAGCTTCAAGAATGCTCCGCTCTCGACAACAAAGCCTTGTTTAGTGGAGAAAGGGAGGCACAACTGTTAGCCTCAATGCATAATCCTTTCCCTGAAAAGGAGGAAGATTGGAAAGAAGAAGATGGCTGGGAAGTTTATAACCATTTGGAGAAGATTGAAGGCGTGGCGAATGGCTACACCAAACCAGGCGACTTGGAGGATATCAATAGGCAAGGGGCTTAAGGGCTTTGGTAGCATGAAAACACTTCCCTAAGGGTCCAACATGGGATGGGAGAGGGGGTGCAGTGTTATGTAGCTAAGTGCCTATTCCAGCACCGGCTAGTCACTCGACGAACAATTTTAACGTCACCGCTACGCTATGTATAGCTCACGCTGTTTTATAAGACTTAGAAACTTCTTCTACTCTATAATAGATCCTCCCCTTTTAAGGACTCTCAACCATAATGCAGACCAGGAAGCCGCCACCACCAGTCATACGCTACCTTAATTCCAACACTGACTCTGTACGGGCCCATGACTGATCATCTGACAGTCCGAACCTCGAGGGTGTGCTCGAGGCCTCAGAACGAACCTGTTAATAGGGAATGTTAACTTGAAGAATTGGAATTTGGGGAAATGAGACCCACCTGTCTGGAAATTGTATCTCGCACTCGTCCAGTACTCCGCGCCAGTGTATGTCGCGATAAACCACTCAACAAATTCCTTAGTGGCATTTGGGACATCCTGGGCTGTTGGGAAGGCATTGTTAGTTGCCAACCACCGGAGAAGGAACTTGATGTCCGCGGCATCGGACACTTTCTTGGCCTCAGTTGGTCGTCCCAAGATAGAGCGGCATTTCGAATTCAGTATGAGCACTGGGCTGAGAATCTTGATGGAGGCACTACCAATGGTGATCGTATGGGTGGGTGTATCTGCATTGAAGGTTTCCCGGAAAAGGGCAGGAGGGGAGACGATTTCGATTTCTACAGGCGGAGAGGTCCTGTAGTGGGTGTGACGGGTCCTTGGGTCGACAATGAAATGGGCTGGGGCAGCTGCTAGGATCGTTCGCGCAGCTGCTACGGCGCCCTGGGGAACGACGAAGTCGACATCCTCTGTCGTTCGGGTAGATCCTAGGAGCTTAACTGCAGCACCGCCAACAATAGCATATTTGTTGTTTCCGAGAAATGCTGCAAGAGCTTCACTGTGTTTCAGCGTGTAACGCACGGCCTTGCGCAACGCACGGTTCCGCGCGAAGCTGTCAAAACTTCAACCACCTCTCTCTCAACTAATATGGGCAGTATTAAGGCCGCTTTAGAGTTGCTAAAATTGCTAAAACCTAGAGAATTACTAAATTATGCTGCAGTAGCTAGGCAGTATAGTGTTAATTAATCTACACTTTTAAGGCGTTACTAACACGTTACCTGCCTGCGTGCAGAGAAACTTAAAAATTAGCAACTACTTAGCCTAGTGCAGGAGAAAGAGCTAGTAGAGTACATTAATAGGCTTTACACAAGAGGTCTATTCTTTTTAAGATAGATAATTTAAAATTTTGTAATAAAAATAAGTAGTAGGTAAGCTAGTAAAAGCTAGGTTAATTAATTTATTAAGAGGCACTTTATTAACTTATTATTTTAATAGACATCTAGCATAGATGCTGCGTGTAATAAAGCTAACTTAGCATTTAAGTACTTACTATATTTTAAGCTTGTACACAAAAAAATTAAGCAATATAGCATAGAACTATAGCATACCTATAATATAGATAAAAAAGGCTTTTTAATTAAAGTACTATTAAAAATAAAGTAAATCTTCTTTAGACAGTAGTATAAGTAAGGTATTAAGTAGCAGCTTATATAAGATAGTAATTACAAGTAGATTATAATAATAGCCTACATCTACGCTAATAGTAGCTCTCTTACACCTATACTAATCTACTAAGCTGTTTTTAACTATATATAAAACTCTTAGCTATAGGATTTTAACTTTTTTAAGTATTAAGCTTTCTTTACTTTATTACTTATAAGTTAGATAAATAATAAACTAGGCCTAGTATAGCTTAAACATATGTTTAATTATAAAACTAAAGTAAAAGTATAATAAGTGTACTAACTTTTATTTTTAAATAGCTATAAATTACATGTTTTAATAAAGTTTATTAAGTACTATAATAATAATAAGATCCTTCTAGCTGTATACCTGCTGCATGCAACCTATATACTATAGCCTTTTAATATCTGCATGTTTAAACCTCTCTTGTTAGCTTACTTAGCTAAGCTAGCTAGCTTTATAGATAGATGCTAAGAACTATTATTAATTAAGAAAAAAGACTTCTACAGCATGTTTAATAAAGCCTAGAAAATGTTCTTTAAGTATAAAACTATTTTTAGTGCTTTTAAAGTAACTAGTTTATTACTATTTAAGCTATAAGTAGTCTTAGATTAATTTTACTATAAGTAGAAGAAGTAACTATTCTCTAGTAAAAGCAATAGCTTAGCGCTTAGTGTAAAGGATTAAAAGAAAGTTAAAGGCCTTTTAAATAAAGTTATTAGTAATTTTTATAAAAAAGATATATAAAAGCTTAAGAAAACTATCTAGTTATTTTTAGTGCATTACATTCTTCTCTAGCGTAAGCTTAAGCAGGTTAAAGATGCGCTAATTAATAAGAAGAAGCGCTGCTAGTGTAGTAAGCCTCTCCTACTAAAAGCACCTCTAGAATATTATAGTAGTGTAACTTTTTAGTCCCTAAATAAGGTCTAAAAAGCATGTAATTATTAAGTATAAAGAAATGCTAAAAAGAAAGCTCTATAGCTTTAAAAATAAAAAAAGGTAAAGTGTAAAAAAGTAAAGAAAGCTAAAAAGGCGCGCGCAGTTAAAAGAAAAAGGCATAAAGTAGTAATAGCAAAGAAGGCTTACCTGTAGGAGCTTAAGACAAAAGCAGCTTAATAAGAGGAGGTAAAGCTTACCTAGTAGGTTAATTAACAGCTTAAAAATAACCTCTAGCAAGCAACAAAGGGTAAGCAGAAAGCTCCTACGCCTATTACTAGTACGCTAGAGGATTTTAATAATAATGTAGCATTAAATAAAGAGAGAGAGCTAGCATTAGGCAGGACTTAACATAGTAGGCAAATTAACCTTCCTATAAGGTATTGCATATAAATTATTGCTAGGAATAGAATCTATAGCATTTAATTAGTATTATAACAAAAAATCTATATAATCTATAATTTGTGTAAGTCTTTAGAGCTTTAAAAGTAAAAGGCGCGGATTGCCAAAATTGTTCATTACGCGAGGCTGTGCATTACGCGCTAAAACATGGTACAAGCTGCAAGAATTTGCTCCGGAGTCGGCTTTTCGGTCGACGACGACACGGGGCCGGGTCTAACGACAGGAGGCAAAATGATACGAAAAGGTAGTGATGGGTAGATGTTGGGATTGTAGTATTTGCTGGAAAGTCAAAACAGAATCTGCGAAGGCAGCGCTTTTTATACCCCTATTGTCTAGTTGGATGTAAAAGCGGCCTAACATTTCTTTCAGCCTCCCCATGAATCAAAAAAATTCAACAACGTATCATTCTCACGGAAAGATATCCCTCCGGGTTGAGATATGCGCGCGCTATGTCAAACGGCGGTCATTCAGATACCAGGGTGGTCGATTGGTGGTGGAGTATGCGGCGAGGAGGAATCGGGGCGGCACAGTTCTTAGTCTTGCATGGGCTCAGGAGGGGGCATATGGCAAACGACTCGACAAGGGAGCGAGATCTAAAAAAAGTGGAATGAGTGTATTGTATAGTCTGAGGAGCTTAATAGAGCTCTGAGCTGACTATATACTGTACGAGATAGGAGCTATGCCTAATGAGTGAATAGTGCATGGGTATGATATCGCGTGAGACACGTGCGACACACACCCCCAGCTTTAACAAAGTAAATACTAAAGCAAAGCTGTACAAAAATTAATAATAAACTGCTAGCGTACAGTAGTGCACATAAAAGTGCAAACAGCAAAAGAGAAGTTAGTAGGCTTAGGCTTTAAAGCTAATGTTAGTAGAGTAAGCCTTTAGGGCGTTACTTAGGCAGATAAAGCCTAGTTCTTTAATAAAGCCTAGTGCAAAGGCATAATACTAGCAAGACAGTTTAATAATAATTTAAATAAGTGCAGTAGCGTGTTGTTAACGCCTTGTTCTACTTTCTCCCTTTATAATGTTTAATTTATTAATAGCAGCTGTGTTTCTAGTAAGACCTAGTCTAGTAGAGTGCCTAAGCTGTTTATAAGGGACAAAGTTAGGTCCTTTAAGAATGTCCTAAGACTTATAATTAGTTACAGCTATATGCTAAGTAGTTCTAGCTTACTTAAAGTAATTATTATTAGACTTAAAGTCTATAGCTATGTTACTTATTTATAAATAAACCTTAATAACTAATAGTGTTTTATTATTAAAGCTATTATTTAGTGTGTTACTAAAGTTATTTTAAAATACTAAATTAATATTAGTTTCTTTTTTTAAGTTAACTTTTAAAATAGTTTCTAAAGTTATATTAGAAGAGAGTAGATAATAGAGAGAGCCTAGCTAGCGCTTTTTATGCAGCTAATTACTAAGTCTATTATTGCGCTTTTTAAGCTGTAAAAGCTTTTTTATAAAATTAATATAATTTTTATTATTTAAAGTATAGTGTTACATAACAGGTTACTTTTTATTATTTAAGTAAAAGTGTTACTATGTAAGGTCTTTAGTAGTTATAACTATTAGTAAAATAAATTTAATAAATAAATTTTTTATGTATAATACTAAAGCCTAGTAGCCTTTAGTTTAAGTAGTGTAGTAAATTAGTAATTAAGTGCTATTATAAAGTTATTTTTAGAGTTAAAGTGTATATCTTATTTTTTAAAAAAAGATATAAGACTAGTAAATATACTAAAAATATAAGCTATATTATTTAGGTTTATCTTAGTAGGTCCTCTAGAACTCTTAACAGTAAGCATAACTATACTCTATGCTAGTATAAGAAGATGTTAGCTGCTAGCCTTAAGTTAGTTTAAAAAAAATAAGCTCTAAGTCTATTAGAAGTTAGCTAGATTATTATAAACATAGATATCTACTTTAAAATTTAAAATTTATAAGTGCTAAAAAGATTTTTTTTTTATTTAGCTTTATAGCATGTTTTTTGCTTATAAAGTTTATTATAAAGCTTATAAAAGTAGCTACTAATTACTTAGTGCTAGTTAAAGCATTAAGTAAATTCTAGTTAGTAAAATTATTAAGTTTTTATATTTTAAAAATTATATTTAGGTTTAGACTAGGTTAAAACTATAAGCTTTAATTATATAATTAAGTTATATAACTAAATAATTAAGTTAGCTAATAATAGTTACTATTATTACTACTTTTTTTATGTTTACTTTATCTACTGTGTTTTCTTTCTTAGTTTAGTTAGTTTTTTAGTAAAGAAAAGTTTTTATTTTTAAACTACTTAGCTTCTACTTTAAGCTAAAAATTACTAATTATGCGCTTATTATATTTTTACTAGAGAAAAGTAAAGATCTAGAACTTTTTAAGTCTTAATTAAAAATTATTAATTTTATAGTTTTTAAATTTATAGTAACTTTTATAAAAGTTATATGTAAACTGCTGTTACTGTTCTAGTGTAAATAAGTGTCTTTAGTATATAGTAAAACTGCTAACGTACCTAACGGGTTAGCTGGCCACACAGGTTGGCCGGCCACTTTTGCTAAGCCTATACTAAAACCACCCTATTCTAGTGCAAAACAGCCTACTTTAGCCCTGTATAAAGCAATACAACATAGGATATTATTTAGAGTCTACTTCTACTACTTACTTACATGTACGCAAGTTATGCCTAGTTTAATTACACTACTTATATTGCCTTTAACTTAGCTTACCTTCTTTAGCGCGCACTTATATCTTTAGCTTCTTCCTATTACTACACGCTCTAAACTCTTTTAGAGTAGTTAGACAAGCTCTATTCTTAACTATTAAAGTCTTTTTTACTTAAATCTACTTTTTTTTATATAATCTATGTTACGTAGCAGCTTTATTTACTGCTTAAAGCTTTATAATCTTCTTTTATGCTAATACTAGCCTATATATAATAATTACTACTCTCTTTAAAACTTTTTTAAAGGCCTTTACTATAGATATTAGTAAGCTATTTATATACCTTTAAATTTTTACTTTTATAAGTGTTAATTATAACCTAAATTTAAAAGTATTACTTAGAGTTTATAACTACTAGGGCTTATTTATACTTAACAACTACTTTCTTTTTAAGCTTAGTTAGATTCCTTAATTTAAGCTAGCATTCTACTTATAAAGGCTGTCTAGCGCGTTAATTGCTTAGTGTTATGTAAGAGATATTATAGATAGCTATAGCGCGTTATAAGGAAAGTTTTAAGTTTTATTTAAGAGCTTAAAGAGTAAGCTATATTTAATGTTCTTTAGAAGATTTAATCTAGTATTGTTATTAAGGCATTATGTAGATAGGTAGAGTTTAGTAGAGGCTTAGCAAAAGTAGCCGGCGAACCTGTGTAGCCGGCTAACCTGTTAGGTACGTTATAAGTAACGCTAGGTTACTAAGTTAGCTATAATTATTACTAATTTTAAAAAACTCTAGACCACTAGTAAGAAAATTAAGTAAATCGTTATTAGTTTATTTATACTAAACTAGAATTAATTAGATAGCTGCTGCGCATCTAAGGTTTATGTCTAAAATTACTAACATAAAGTTATAGTGTAGTTAATATTCTATTACATTTAGTAAGTAGACTAATTTAGCATTAATATATATATTTTTATATGCTATAATTTATTAGTTTTATTTTATTTTTAATAACTACTTTCTTACATAGTTATATGTAGTTTATGCACTCTGTTTAAGCTACTTATTAAAGAGTTTTAGGATTACCTTTAAAGTTTTTAGCTTTTTATAAATTATGTCTTTATCTTTAATAATAAAGTAGTTTAATGTGTTAATAGTGCTTTTAATAAGCATATAAATATTTAATAGAGCTTTATGTTAAGCTTAGAATAACTTAAAATTATTATAGTAGTCTTTACACACTATTATATAGCATTACTAATTATTAAGGTTTAGGTTAAAGACTATAGGGTTAGGACTAAGCTAGGTGCTACCTGTATAAAACTTTGTAACCTTAGGCCTCTGTAGTATAGTGTTAACTAGGAGATTTTCTAGTAAGAGATCTAAATTAATATACTTCTAGACATATTCTCTAGTTGCTTATGTCTTAATGTAACTAAACTAGAGCTGCTAGTTGCTCTTTTTAGTAAGCTGAATAAAGGCATTAATGTTTAAAGTTATCTTTATGTGTTAATAAAATAGAACAAAAAGGTTGTCCAGTTAATTAGGCTTAGCTAGTAAGCAATCTATAATTAGTATGTTTTAGAGTAGACAGAAGGTTATTGTCTAGTTAATTAGGCTTAGTTAGTAAGCAATTTATAAATAATATAGGTGGAAGAGACAGAGTGTTATTGTCTAGTTAATTAGGCTTAGTTAGTAAGCAATCTGTAATTAATATGTTTTAGAATAGACAGAGGGTTATTGTCTAGTTAATTAGGCTTAGTTAGTGAGCACTCTGTGATTGTTATGTTTTGGAATGGACAGAGGGTTATTGTCTAGTTGATTGGGCTTAGTTAGTAGGCACTCTGTGATTGTTATGTTTTAGAATAGACAGAGGGTTATTGTCTGGTTAATTAGGCTTAGTTAGTGAGCAATCTGTGATTAATATGTTTTAGTATAGACAGAGGGTTATTGTCTGTTTAATTAGGCTCAGCTGGTGAGGAATCTGTGATTAATATGTGTTAAGGTTCGCAGGGCCCTAAAGCTAGATGCAAAAGCTAACTGTGCAGTGGTGACTAGAGTACTAGTCAGGAGCGCGACTCTGGGCTTATAACTCTTGCATGGGCTCAGGAGGGGGCATATGGCAAACAACTCGACAAGGGAGCGAGATCTAAACAAAGTGGAATGAGTGTATTGTATGGTCTAAGGAGCTCGATAGAGCTCTGAGCTGACTATATACTGTACGAGATAGGAGCTATGCCTAATGAGTGAATAGTGCAGTGCATGGGTATGATATCGCGTGAGACACGTGCGACACTTAGCATCGAAGCTAACTCTACATCTTCGCGCGACCAAGATCAACGCCACATTTACCGCCTCAAGCTCAGAGAAGCAAGCTGTACCCCAGTCGTTTTCTAAACTTGCGGCACCTTGTTCTACTAAGAAGCGCGCGCGTTGTCCCCAAGTTTCATTGCTTTTGGGCTGCCGCAGATCTATTGTCGTTGAAGTCGTTTTTTTTTTTTCGACTACGGCGTAGCTGCTGGCTTGTCCAACGACTTAGATGTCATGAAAGCACTATTCGAAACACGAGTAAATTTTTGGAATTGGGAAGTGGAGTAAATGTCAGACAAGTTCTGATACTCGACGCCTTGAATAGACGCAGTCTCCTGACTTTGCTGCTTGTCAAGCAGATCGATAGCAAGACCTAGGGGTTTCGAGACTCACCGTAAAGCCCCACAGATCTAATTCATTTACCTGGAGAATAAGCCGCGCGCGTGCGTTGTGGCTCCTTGCCATCGTAGTCTGCTAAGATATTGCTTCGTACCAATGCTCAAAGTGGTCACTGTGCAGCTATCCAACATAATAAATAGCCGGTGCTGTATCCCTCATTTACCCCCAGAGAATAATCTAATAGTTCAATCCATACAGATATTATTGCCCTTCTCAAGATTCAGGAGAGACCACTTCGATATGGGTAAAACTACTCGCATGCGTAAGTTTTGGCTACACACTTTTGCTCTATGAATTCTGCATTAACTCACGAATCAGAAAATATTGACTATCGCATCTGGATTTATCTCCTTCCTATTCCCACACTCCTCTTCTATGGTAGCACCCCAATATTTCTCGATGGTTACATGTCAGCTAAACTACGCCTAGGATTATGTCTTACTGGATGCGTGTCCAATTCCCCAGGAATACAAAACATATTTGCAGTCAAACTGGAGCCAAGAAATGGTATATCTTCTATGGCTTTCACAGTTTCAGAATTACGAATAAACTACTTTGGTATTACTTACCTTACCTGGATTTTATATGCAGTACTAATCTCTAAGTAGGCATCTGCGCTTCCACATCAGACAGATTGGTCTGCCAATCTAGCTCCGGCAAGACGGCCGATAGCCTTCTCCGATTTATATTCGACGCGAATGCCAACAACGGAACTGATGTATCAGGCGATCTAGACCTGGTCTTCTTCGCTTTCACCCTACAATCAAAGATTATTCTTTGCCTGCTGGCCGCCGCCGGCGTCTTGCTTGTCATTGGTCTACTTGTAGCCTTGATACTGAAACGACATCTTAAAGCGACACAAACAGGCAACTCGAACACAGAAAAGCGTAGACAATCACTCAGACTTGCTGCTCTGGCAATTATCTGGACTTCTGTTGGACTTGCTCTGGCATCGGCAATAACGATCAGCCAGGTGACTGCTACAATGCAGTACGTCACCCAGATGGGATCCGTGTCAACAATCCAGATTACAGCCGGACAGATCTTGAATGTCCTTCAATGGCTTATATTCTCGTTATCGGCTTTGTTTGCGGCGGGGATATCAAGTATATTCAAAAGGCAGGGAGGCGTGGCCGGGTCGGCTGGTTCGGCAGCCTCTGGAACAACCACCCATGTCCATTGCCCACCCTCCATGGGCAATATCTACGCCGCCACATGTGCAAATAGCCTGATTTTTGGTCTTATAATAGCTGCCAGGCTGCTCTAGCTTTAAAGTGCTGCAGAGCTGCATTATAATTGCTATTACGTTGCTGGGAACGCACTGTATGGCTGCTAGGTACCTCTCTATAAATGTCATAGTGTGACAGAAGTATACTGTGCTCGCACAGTATCCTAATAATGCAGTAAATTACAGAATAATGTATTAAATTGCAACAAGAAGCAGCAAATTGCAGAATAATGCAGCAAATTGCAACAAAACGCAGCAAATTGCAGAATAATGCAGCAAATTGCAACAAAACGCAGTATATTGCAGAACAATACAGTAAATTGCAGAACAATGCAGTAAATTGCAACAAGACGCAGCATATTGCAGAACAATGCAGCAAATTACAACAAGACGCAGCAAATTGTAGAATAATGCAGAATAGAATCTCTGCTTAGCAGCTATAACTATCTAAACACTAATTAATTAACTCTTGTAACAATAACTATATACAATACTAGGACTACAAAACTAGGGGCGATTGCTCTCCTTCTGAGCGACTCTGAGATGCTTGCAGAGCTGGTCCAGCAAGACCCTCTGCTGCTGCTGCTGCTGGCTCACCTGCCACATGGCCGCCTCCTTGCTAGTCCTCCGCGCCTGCGCGATGCGCCTAATCTCCTTAATAACCTTAAGCTGTAGAGAGTACTACTGCAGCTTACTCTAACAACCTAACCTTTACTTGTTCCCCCAGCGCCTGTCTAGCTTAGCGATAGAAGGCTGGCCCTGCAGGCCTACTGTCTATTCGCGCTAGAGATCCTCCACAGTCCTCACAGCGCGGCACATGCGATGCTTTGGTGCAGGTTCTAGCTCAGGCGCAAGCTCAAGTGCTGCTGGCAGAGGCGATGGGCTAGGCGAGCGCGCAGACGGCGTAGGCGCGATGCTGGCTTGGGCAGAGGTATACCTGCTTGAATCTACGTCTGCCAGCGACGGCGGCGCAGCTGCTGTGTGCCTGAGTGGAGGTGGTGGCAGCAGCAGACCGCCCTGCGCCTGCGACGCCTCCAGGCGGAACATAAGGCTGCCAGACGTGAGCACCTGCAGCTGCTAAGACTGTAATCTCTGCAGCTCGCGCACGTGATTAAGCTCCTCCTTAAGCTCCCTCTTAAGCTCCCTTATCCGCTGCTTGTTCTAGGCATCTAGCGCTTAGAGCTGGTTAGCAAGCAGGGGTATTGCCTGGTACAGGACTGACAGCTAACTAGGAGCTGCCTCTGCGTCAAGAGACGCGTTGATGTCCTAAGCGAAGGCGGCGTACGCCCTGTGCTGGAACACTGGGTGGTTCCACACAGGGTGGCTAGGGAAGCGCTGGCGCAGCGCAGCTGAGTCCTAGAGGATCACCTCTCTGAGGTAGAGCAGCAGGCTCGTAAGGCCCCCTGCGGCTAGGTTGTTAATCTAGCTAGCGTGCAGGCTAAAGCGGCCCTTCCACGCATTAAGCTCTAGCTAGATAAGAGACAGGAGCTTGTCTAGAGGCGCGACAGCTGCGCAAGGGATCTTAAAGCAGCCTATCTGCAGCAGATAGCCAGCTATAGACCTTATAAACTTCTGCGGCAGTAAGTTAAGGTAGCAGCTAACTATTTACTCCTAATTCTACCTGCCTGCTTACTAAATCTAATCCTTACTAACCCCTTTAAGCTCTGCTAGCTTAGCTGCTCTACTGCGTAGGAGGTAAGTCTTCTTCTAAGATAAGATCCCAGCGTAACTGTACGCCTTCGCGACCTGGTCGCGCTAGGAGTTATAGGAGAAGGCTGCTGTACAATTGCCCGTGCTGGCCTTAATTAGCTGTATGCGGTACTAGGCTAAGCGCTCACTAAAGTCAGGAAAGGGCTTGTCGCCTAGGTCCCAGCAATAGAGCAGGTAGAAGGCTAGGCTGCTAAGCATGCAGAGGATTAGCTTCCTGTGCCGCAGCGCGCCTATTGTCTTAAGCTGGCTGTGCTAGTTCTGCTTGCTTGCGCGGGTGGTAAATATTAGGGGCATGCAGCGCGTAGGGCCCTCCCCCTTAAACTTAAAGGTGAACAGGTCTAAAATCTCTGCAGAACAGCGGTCGCCTCCGCGCGTGAGCATGTAGTGGCCCAGCATGAGATTGACTAGCGTACGGAAGTGACACTCTACTGTTGCTAAGGACAAGCTCGCGTCTGCGCTATGTGTCCACAGCTCGCTACAGAGCCGCTTAAACTCGTCCTCAGTGTAGCCGTCAAGCAGCGTGTCTCTGCCCTTGTCAGCGTACTGCTCTTAATCTCGCTAGGCATCCCTGCGCTGCAGAGACCTAAGGTACTCCCTTACACTGTCTACGCGCGGCGATGGGTGGCTGTTTATGCCTAGCGCCTTCTGCTCTCGCCAGAGGTTAGTAATAGCTGTGATGTAGGCGCGAACTAAGCGCTAGGCAAGACGCGTCTTGTCTTAGAGGACGTCGCTCCCTACCTTGCAAGACCTAGTCCTTAAGGGCTAGTTTGCAACCTCCTTAACTAGGAAGAGCAGCAGCTTCTCCTTTATAACAGTGCTGCTGTTGTGGTACTGCTTCCTCTCGCAGAACGCCTAGACGCAGGAGTTAGCACAGACACAGACACACAGATAGGCAGGCAGGCGGGCGAGAATACTACCTTGAATTCCTCCTGCTTTAGAACATAGACCTAGTGCGTATTCTCTAGTCGCTGCTTGCGAATTGTAGCTAGGATATAGTGCGCATTAGCGCGCAGCTTAGCGTTGTTCGCGATGTTGACGTCTGCGCGCTCGCAACGCGCCCTGCGCTGTAGACCCATGCTCGCGCCCCCTGAGTGAGTGTGTACAGTGAGGGAGGGTATATACAGCAGCAAGCAGCGCACGCTGAAACTCGGGCTCGGGATGAAGGTGAGGGCAGGGCCTGGCCTGCCCTAGGGCCTCTCCATCCATACATATATATGTGTGTGTGTGTGTGTGTATAGTACAGGAGCCATCAGCGGCGGGCTCAGCAGGCGGCCGGTGCATTAGGAGATGTCCACCGCACGGGCGCGAGAGCCGGGGGTAGACATCCGCAGACGCCCGCAGGAGGCGATTGGTCGTGTCAGATATGCGCACCTACTGTCAAGACAGGAGGAACGTTTGACGAAAGCTGCTACATAGTACGAGCAATAAGCTCGAACAGTATGTTGCTGCAAATTGCAGCATTTTGCAGCATTTTGCAGCATGTTGCAGCAAATTGCAGCATTTTGCAGCATGTTGCAGCAAATTGCAGCATTTTGCAGCATGTTGCAGCAAATTGCAGCAAATTGCAGCATGTTACAGCATTTTGCAGCAAATTGCAGCATGTTACAGCATTTTGCAGCAAATTGCAGCATGTTGCAAGCTGGTCGCGCATAGGGCTAGTGCGCGAGGGACTCGGATCGGCAGAACAAAAAGCCGAGCAACACGAGTAGAGCAGAAAAAGCATTAATAAATGAACACAATCAATACAATCAATCAATCATCCCATACATCATATCCAAACCCATCATTCATCTCAGGAAGCCCAGAAACAGTGCTTTAATCTGACAATTAAGAGTCTCAGTGCCTCCATCGATACAAAATGGCCACCCAGCCTCCTCGAGACGCGACAGTCGTCCTTCGAGACCACACCGACTACAGAGCCTGGATGATGCAGCTGCAATCGAGATGTGTAGCGCACGGCATCTGGCCGCAAGTGGATCCTAAGTTGACCATCCAAATGATCTCCAAACCAAGAGCTCCAGAGATGCCGCTAATAGCTGAGTTTTCACCAGCCTCCAACGTCGAAACGCCTACGCACCTGAACAAGCTATCGACAAGCGGTGTTAGAGCCTTTAAAGAAGCTATTAAATACTACAAGATTAAGGCTAACAAGTATAAGAGTAACAGACATAATTATAAAAAAGAGTAATTAAGCCTTTAACAGATTATTGTCTTTATCTAGTTAATAGTTAGCCCGCATCTGCAGCGTACATGCTGTTCCCTAGATTAACTACTTAAATAGTGGATTACAAACCTTAAAGCTACAGTAGGTGTTAATAACTAATTTAAATAAGAACGTGTGTGTAACTAATATAATGCATCTCTAAAGCTGCTAAGAAACGCAAGCATATAGGACCTGTAGCTAGCAGAGTATGACTACGCTGCCACAGAAGCAGAGACACAAAATGTTCTAGAAACAACGTAGTTTAATGCTGTAGCAAAGGACTTTCTAACTACTATAAATAAAGTTGCCCCTTATTAGTCTATAACCTTTTAGGAAAGCAGACAGTTCGCACTAGACATAAATTAAAAAGAAATAATAAAGTGCTTTTAAAAACATATAATGTTAAATTATCTAATATGTATAAAAAAGCATAAAGCTGCCTTTACAATAGATAACTTATTATACTTTACTAAAAGTAAAAAAACTACCTAGGGCACAAATAGAAACGCCTGTAGTGCAAAAGTTATAATGTTAAGAAAATAGAGTAGACCTTAACATTAATGTTATTAAAAAGATAACAGAAAGTTATTCTTAAGCTAGAAACCTGCTAAAATAGAAGGCACTAAATGTCCTACATGTAGACACATCTATGCATTAAAGGACTACTTTTATGTCTATCTAGACAGAGCACTAGACTAGTAGATGCTAAATAAAAGAGTTAAAAAGCTTATAGCATTAAAGTGTAAGCACAACTTAGAATTTTAAGGCCTACTAAAAAGGCAGCATAGACATAATTTAAAGATACTAATTCTAAAGAGTTTATATACACTTATACTAGAGATATAAAAAGACTAACTTAAAAGCTAGAAAGTATTAAGAGTTAAGGTAGCTACATTACTAGCTATAGTTAATTTAAACTAGAATAGATATCTACTAAGAGAATTATTTATCCTTAACTTAGGCTTAACATGCTACATTATAAATAATTTTAATTAAATCTATAACTATTATTTACTAACACTAGAAAACTTTATCTAGTCTAGAAACTCTTATGTATAGATTTAAAGCTACAGATTAATTACACTAAGCTTAAAAAGTAAGCATAGAACATATAGTTAAGCATACAGTCTTGTACTACATAACACTGCACTGTGCCTAGACCTGCTGTGCAACCTAGTCTTGTTCTGCCTACTGTAACAGAAAGGAATCTAGTAGAACACACAAGCAGAGCTAACTGCTTTAAAGGCCTTAGATAAGATAATAATTAAAGATCTTATAAAGATCTATAGCTAATAGGTGTTAGAGTACTATCTACTATAAAAGAGCTTATATTATATACACATAATTAACACAAGAACTAAACATAGTCTATAAAAGGCATTAGTAGAGCTATAGCATAAGCGTCTAGGACACTCTAGACTAGCTACACTTTAACACCTTATATAGTAAGCTAAGGGGGTGTAAATTAAAGAAATTATAACAGTTTAATGTAACTTATATAGCAAAGCTAAGATATAATAATAAATTAGCTGCACACTACAAATTAGCAACAGTAGACCTAGTAAGAAACTATTAATTAATTTCTATGCATATAAAGCATAAAGCATTATAAAAGAGCAAAGTTAAATGCTAATTACTAATAAGTATTCTAGCCTTTAGTAGGACCTCTACTTTAAAGATAATAAGCTTACTAAATTAATTATTAAAGCTTTTATAATCTTTATTCTCTTTCTAAAGAACTATTATAACATTACTATAAAAGTTATTAAAGCTAATAATAAGATTATAATAGTAAAACTAGAGGTAAAACGCTAGCTAGCATTACATAGAATAACTGTTAAGCCTTTAGCACTAGATACATAAGCCTAGAATAGAGAAGCTAAACGCTTAAAGGGTGTAAACAAGGAGAAGTTATAGGCTATACAACTAGATGCTAACCTACTATAGAATGTATAGCCATACATTACTAAAGCAGGCGTATACCTATATAATTAAACGCTAAACTATGCTAACAACTAGAAGACACTATATAAGATCTTCTTTACATAAGTAGCTTTAAATAATAAAGTTGTTATATTAATCTAAAAGCTAAGCTTTACACATTTAAAAGCTTATAGCTATAAAGCATTTATAATAACTAATAACACACATTAAAATAAATCTAAGCTATAAAGGCTAGACTTAAAGGCGTAGATTAGATATCTAGTTAAGTACTAATTATTAAACATCTACTATGTATAGATACTACTGCTAGTAAAAGTAATCTATACACATAATATTATTTTTAATAAACACTTAATTTTTAGCAGTAAGCCTAAAGACCTAATAAATAACTTTATGTATAACATAGTAAAGAAAATTACTATATATATTAGAATAATTAAGCTTCTAACACCTAGTTATTAGCTAAAGATAAAGTTATTCTATAAAGATAACACTATAAATAATATATTAAATTTTAATAAAGTAGACCTACTAGGCTACTATTAAGAAAAGAAGATTAGAGATAACTATTTATCTTCTCTAAACACTCTGCCACCTGTAGCATTGCTTATGCAGTTAATAGCTAGAGCAGCACTAAAGCTAAGCTAAATAGAGTTGCTAAAGACTATACTATAGGCTGTAGCCTTTATAGCTAGCATAAAATCTAAAAGTGTAGAAAAGCATAGTAGTAAGACACTAGATAAAGCAGCATTAATAAAAATGCTATTTAAAAGAAAGACACCTTATAAAAGCTAGCTGCTACTTCTACTATTAACTTAAAAGTAACTAAAGAAGTACCCTCTACATAAGATGTTTAAGGCAGCAGAAAGAACACACCTAGACAGTTATTAGATAATAAAATCCTAAACAGAGGTCTAGATAAAGCTAATTAAGGCAGCTAGACAGCAGATTCTAGATTATATGTAGGTGTACACCTATAAGCTTAATAAGCACTATAGATTACAAAAATGTAAGGCGCAACTAGTAGTCTACAGCAATTAATAAAGAAACATTACTACATAAGATACCTATGCTGCTACCCTAGTAAGACGCTTATTTTAAATGCTAATAGTAATATCTGTACACTTTAACCTAGAGCTTAAATAATACAATGTAACTAACATGTTTATACATGCAGCAATTAACTGCAATATCTACATGCAGATGCTAAAAGGCTATTAGAAACTAGGTATAATACTAAAGCTTTAAAAAGCACTATATAGCTTATAAATTTTTTCTCTACTTTAGTAACACTATTTTATAATAACCTTTAAAAGCTTTAAGTTTTTAGCTGTTCTATATAAACCTTACTGCATAACTAAAGCTAGAATATTTGTCTTTTTTTACATAAACAACCTTATTGTTGCGTACAGAAAAAGCTCTAAAGTAGATGCACAGCGTGTAGTAGACTAGTTACAAA